CGATTGCAATCGGGCAATCGGGTATGCAGTGACCTACAGATTTTATCAAAAATAAATCATTTTGCAAATAGCGATAACTTGATTTACATTTGGAATTCCGTTCTGGATTCTAAATCCGCAATAATTCCATTTCGACGTACGACACAGTGTTCGAAAATTCAGATCCAAATACTGTTCTTATGAGAACAGTGCAATTGATATAGGTGTTCTCAAGGTACGATTTTATGTTCACAAAAAAAAAAAAAAAAAACAGTAAATTAGAAAATATACACTATAGTTCGCTATAGCTGTATTGGTATTAAAAAATATTCAAAAATAATAGATAACTATTTATTAATTTACTAAATACAGTATATTTATCGGTTTCTGGCCTGATATGACAACGTTATAAAGCTTTTTATTATATGGGCGAGTTAATAGAAATCAAGCAAATTTTTTACAATAAGAATTTTTTATATCTTTAAACAAAAATAACCTTAACCGACTTTAATAAAATTTTTTTTATAACTTTAAACAAGAATAACCTTATCCAAATTTAATAACGTTTTTTTTTAAATAATTGTTACAAACTTGTAAAAAAAAATTTATTAAGTTTGGTGAAATTTTTTTTAAGTTATTCTTGTTTAAAGTTTTTAAAAAAAAAGCTTATTAAAAAATATTTGCTTGGTTTCTATTGACTCAGCCCTATATACTTATGAGAACACTATTATTATTTTACTGTTCTCAAAAAACTTTTAATAGTGAACAATAAAAAAATTTATACTGTGCACAAATTTAAAATAGTGTTCTCATGAGAACTCTGAGAACACTAATTTCAAACACTGGTACAACATATATACTATATTTTATATTAATGTTTATGTTGAGCAATGGCTTCAAAAGTTTATTTATAGTTTCAAAAAATAAGCTTATTGTTTGTCTGAGTGGCTGAGATCACGAGGCTGACAGTTTTTTGCGATATGGCTAAGCTTCATTCTATTTTATAAATTATTATAAATTAGAAAAACTCATAAAAATTAGATCTAAAATTGCATATATAATATCGATATTTCGGCTGATGAATTTTTATTATTGTTTATGCTGATTAATGGCTTCAAAAAGTTTACTGATTATGTTTCAAAAAGTAAGCTTATTGTTTTGGCTTTGAAAATGTATTATTATATAAATGCATACTTTTTTTACTTGTTAAACATCTTCGTTTCGTTTTTTTTAAGCAAAAGTATACCATCAACGACATTTTTACAGGAAAATGCAATTTGTAAAAACTTTAGCAATTTTGGCACTAATTGCCCAATTGACGGTTATTACTCCTTCTTGGGCACTCGAAAGACGATGTATTAAAGAATTTTATTATTACTAAAAATAATGATATTTTTCTTGGAAATGAAACACTAATAAATTTTAACTTTGTTTTTAGTTTTGCCTCGTCGTCCTAATCATGAAGCTACAAGAAGAGGTATTGAATTAGCAATCATCTTTATTAATTCATTAAGTTAACATTAATAATAAATTCTCTAATTATTTACATGTAAATAAATTATTAGATTGTGAGTATAAGACTAACTTATAAATTAAAAATTTATAATAATCATATTATTAAAAAAACATCTTGAATTATTTGAATGTAAACTAAATTATCAGTATGTGGGTATAGGACTAATTTATAAATTAAAAATTTTATATTAATTTTATTATTAAATAAAACATCTTTCTAATTATTTATATGTAAATTATTAGGTTGTGAGTATAAAATTATTTAAGATTAATGATTTTATGCTTAAATACGCAAAACATCTCTGATTGGTTATACATAAATTAATAGACAGTAAGTATTAGACTATTTCATAAATTAAAAACTTTAAAATAATTTTATTATTAAATGAACTATTTCTAACAATATATATTAAATTGCTAGTCCGTGAGTGTAAAAGTATTTTATAAATTTAATTTTATTATTCAATAAAACATCTCTAAGTTTTTTATTTATATTTAGCCAGTGGTATGAGACTATTTTATAAGCTAAAAATTTTACAATTATCTACTATTAAATATAAAATTTTTAATTATTTATATGTAAATTAAATTATTAGGTTGTGAGTATAAGACTATTTTATAAAATTAAAAACCTTATAATAATTTACATACTATAAATAAAACATCTCTAATTATCTATCTGTAAATTAAATTTCTAGTCGGTGAGTATAAGACTACTTTATAAATTCAAAACTTTATAATAATCTACTATTAAATAAAAAATCTCCAACTACTAATATTAATTAAATTACTAGTCTGTGAGTACAAGACTAATTTATAAATTCAACCTTTTACGCTATTAAATAAAACATTTCTAATTATTTATATTTAAATTAAATTATTAGACGGTGAGTATAAGATTAATTTGTAATTCAAAACTTCATAATAATATACTATTAATAAAACATATCTAATTATTTGCATATAAATTAAATTAGCTTGTGAGTATAAGACTATTTTATAAATTAAAAAACTTAATGATAATAATTATTAAATAAAATTCTTCACGTGTATATTTATAGGTTAATATTAGAATATAGCAATTTGTGTTATATAACAATATATTGTTATATAATGTAAGTATCTTTGTTATAATATAATATTCGTCTACAGTACAAATATTATTCGGTTAATTTGTATAATAGAAGATGTTATTAGACAATTATATAATTTTTATATCTAACTATAGATTCCACTCTATGTAGTGTATAATTGGCTGGAGAAAAAGCATTAAAAATTTTGAGCATGTGATCGTAAGGATAAAATTATGTACTTTATGTACTGAAAAACGGAGAATGTAATGAAATAAAATAGCATTAAATCGTACTTTATAATATTTATTTATATCTAGAAAGAGTTGTATTATTATTTTCTTAAGTGCATGTATTATGACATAGTCATTTAAGTTATCTTAATTTGCTCGATTCTATATTTTCTTCATGTTTTTGTCGTAATAAAATTGATATTAGTTAGTTCGTGTATTATGTATGATTTATGATTTTATAAAGGCGAATTTTATGAACCAATTATGTAAACAAAGCGGGACGGGACTTAGCTTCCCGAAGTGCCTAAAGGTCTCTATTTATAATAATAAAATCTACTATTTACATCCGCATTATAATCAGTGTATTCAGTGTTTGACTGGGCATTGGACATAGACATTGGATCACCCTTGTTCAGTCCAGTCCAATCCACCGGACCAGAAGTATTGCATTGCGTACAAATAATTTTATAACCAGATAATCAATGTGTGAATATAAATGAGAAATATATGAATTTAAATAATTTATTTAGACATTTAAATTAATAAAAATAGCTTTGTTACTTTATACTAGTTTTTTTTTATTGCAATGTTTATATTATTTTATACATTTATATAAAGAACAAACATTATGTTCTCAAAAAAAAAAAGTTAAAAAAGGAAAACAGTATCTGATTATCACCTGTTCAAAAACGTACTAAGTAATTAGGATTAGGGATTCTAAGTAAACATTAATAGTTAAATAAGAAATTATAAAGATCAATTTGTTTTAGATAAGTTGTAAAAAAATTTGAAGTTTTTATACTTAAGAAAAGAAGCCAATGTCCCAAAAGGTAAAATACCGGTTAGTTTGTATTTCAATAATTTAATGTTGATTACTATTATTATAGTGTTCTAGAATTTTTGATATATCTTCAAGGCCACTTAATAATGCTTCTTCACTGTTTCTTCTTTGCTTTTCATTAGCGATTGTCACAAGAAAATGTAGATCTTTTACACAATTTTCAAAATCGCCAATTAACATCTCAAACCTATTGTTGATATCGGTAGCCATTATGAATCTTCTATATCCTTTAAGTTTTGATACAAACCTTGTAAAGTCTTTGACCCTTATCAAAGTACTCTAATCTCTTAAAACCCAGGAAATATATTTGATTTCCTATAAGTTCTTTATCTCCTGCAACTTGATTGGTCAAATAATCCATTGCGTATTCAATACTTTTAATACGATAATCCAAAAAATAGGTCATATTCTTATTAAGTTCTGAAGCTTCATATACATTATACATTTCTTTAAAGATATTTTTTAAAATATCATAGAGTATCTGCAAGGCTGCACCAATTAAAGTAATGGCTCCTCCTGCGTATACCATTTGTTGATTGCCACTATTATTTCCAACTAGGGTTAAGAAACCACCCAATATTGCTGTTAATTTGTCCATACTAAAATTTATATTCTTCTTTTTGATTAAGTAAATAACTAAATTAATTATTTTCAAGCCAGTTATGGTTTGTTAGGTGAAGTCTTTTTTTGTGCGATAATGAAATATATAACTTAAGACTGGTGAAAAGAAATATGTTACTAGCGAAATAAAAAACTCTTGCTAAGAGTAAGGGTTAAGCTCTAGCTAAAATAAAGATCTTTAAAAGGTGAAATCTCAAAAACTTAACGAAATATGAAATACTAGAAGTAGTAAACTACTGCCGTATACGATTCTTATTTTCTATAATGTCAAAAAAAATCGAAACTAAAAACATAAAAGGTTGCAAATCCTTAGGCTGAAGTGAGGCTTTAAATTTGTGTACGTATTGCATATTTATGCCGCTGCTAAACATTAAACATTATATACAGAAATGTAATATCAAAAACATGATACGTATATAAATGAAAGAGAAGGTCTGTAAATTGGTTAATTAAATTTCGTCTTATCGGACTTGATCCCTATAAGATTAATCCCACACAGTGCTAAAACGATATACTGTATAGTAAACGGTGGTCATTTGCTGTGCCATCGCCCATTGTTCAAAATATCATCCTTGATGCATCAAAGCTTATATAAATTTAATGTGAATCAAGAACGATACAGACGAATGGCCGGCATTTTATATGTCTATTTAGCCCTGATCTGGCAACGACTGTGACGGGTAGTTCACCAATAAGTTACGGGCATGTGATTTTTTTGTGGCGCAAACCAATCAGATCTCAAGATCAGGTGTAATGTAGCAAATCAAACTCAGGGCTAAGAAAAATTCTGTAATTTAATGCCTGATTCTGATTTAATGCGGTTAAAAATATAAAATGCGCAAAAATTCCATAACTTTCCGACAAGCGTGTTCGTAATTTATGTTAATTTGTTGTCTACATTTCTGAATTTATGGTCAATATTGCGATATTTTAGAATTCTGTGATATATTGCGTTATTTTTTTTAGAATTTTGTGGTATTCTGTGGTGACTAAAGGCGATTTCTGTGATTAGCTGTTTTTAAGGAAAATTCTACTGTTTTCTTTGATCGCAGTAAATCATCGGTCCTGATCAAAACAAACATTGTTTCGTTAAAAATCAAAAATCTACATAGGAAACCACCTTTGGTGTATTAACAAAAGTTTTCTTTGAGCGATTTTACTATTGACTTCTTTAACCCTCGTCCTGACTTATTAAACGAATTTAAAGATTTTTTGGTGTGCCACGAATACAGTCACGTGTCCGTAACTTTTTGGTGGCGAACTGGGGAAGTTGATTCATGCGTCCTATATCTACCCTAATCCTAAAAACATGCTAAAAAAATGCATCCCAAATTTGTATTTTTCGTTGGTTTACCTATTTTACACTATATATATTCCATTTTATTTTATTTTATATCCAGTAAAAAGTGCGGACACATGACTGATGACTTCTCCAGCATCGCCTGAAAACGCAGAAGCTACGGACAGTTCTTAGGGACAGTTCAGTGGCCAGAATTAGGATTAGGATTAGGGTTAGGGTTAGTAGGTGGATTTATTTATTGTTAGTCAGCAAGAACTGTCCATAGACTCCGCGGCCTGGAAAATGTCACTATCACGTGATATTCGAAAATTCTTTTAAGTTCATTTAGATTAGGGTTAGGGTCTATGTTAAGTTTAGGGTTAGAGGAGTTTAATAGTAAAATTGCTCAAGAAAAACTTTTGTTAATGCACAGAAGGTGGTTTCTTATAAGGGATATACCGAATTCGGTCATTGACGATTACACCTAATTTGGTGATGATCTTCATTCAAATGATTCTAGAATTCGGATTCGAAGTGTAACGAAAAAAATAAATATATTTTTTTTAAAAAAAAAGATTTCACAGCATTTTTTTGTTTAGAACGTATTTATATAAGCTCTAATAGCACATATAGTTTAACTAAAATATCTCGATTTTGATATCATCATAATATATATTATAGAATTATTATGCAACGTCTAATGCATTTTTTATTATGTTTAATCCAATTTAAATTCGATTTTTGAGTCTAACACTATTTACGGATAGGATATTAATGGGATACATTTTGAGTTTTGGTTATAAACTCAAATTAAATAGAAATGCTGATTCCCAAACCAAAACTAAATATAATGCTGTAGCCATCAATTAATAAATAATAATACCAGAATCGACTTGAATAAAAGATTGTGCACAGGCAATAAACTAATAACATTAAGGTTGATATTTAGTATAGGTGGGAATATATAAATATTATAAGATTATTTAATATAAAAATAATTATTTGAACTAATTTAAACAGATTTGAGAATAGTTAGGGTTAGGGTGAGGGTCATAGTATAGTTTATAGTTAGCTTTGGGTTAGGGTTAGAGTTTTTTTATATTAAATAATCTTATGATATTTATACATTCCTACCTATACTAAATAAGATCCTCTAATTACGTAAAATTGCAATTAATTGACTAATTGTGACTGCGCCACCAATTAATTAATTGAGCTTGAAAAATTGCAATTAATTGCCTTACAATCAATTATTCGGTAGGCCTGATATTTATCCAATGATTTGATTTACTAACATGGCTCAGCCTTTTCTAAAGTCTTAAAGGATTTGATCTTCGCCGAGTTTTGACTTTCCCAGGGTTTCAACTTTACCAGGGTTTCGCCAGAGTTTCGCCGTTTCACCAGAGTTTCGCCATTTCGTCAGAGTTACGCCAGAGTTACGCCAGGTTTCGTCTTTCGCCGGGTTTAACGTAGCAGGACATTTATGTTTAGTCAAAGTGATACAAAAATTTACATCAATAGTTACGTTTTTGATTTGTTCATTGTCGTCTTATATTTATTGTTGTATTTTAGTATGACGGTAACAAAAACCAAACAAATAAAATTATCGCCACGCAATTTAACTTTTGAAAAGTCCTTTCAATAGTTGAACCTACCTGGATTAATTCAGTAATTCGATCTAATTGTAGACCAGGGTAAGCTAAATAATCAATTGCAAATATCAAATTGTTCAATCAGCTGTTGTAAAGACCATAGAATATACGAAGAAAGAACTTATCATCTTCGATAAAATTCCAATCGTGAATCTCACTATTTTTGAGTGGATTTTACATGTGTTGTTCTTTTATAAACATAAATTATAAAACAAATAAACTGCCATTTATAAAAAAATGCAGGGCAACGCAAATTATAAATATATATGTATAAACAATCCACTTTTATCACAATATACAGTATATAATAGTGTGGATATTTCCCTGAAAAAAATAATTAATGTTTGCAAAAGTCTGCGTAAATCGCAACCTCAATCATAGTGAATGAGAAGGACTTTTCTATAAGTTACTTTGAACAAGTTTTCGATATACCATAATAACATACAATATAGTGAAATCTTGATACAGTAAAACTAAAAGCACAACCCAGTCTATATAAAATATAGATATAGATTTATTGTGGTAAGGATTTCTTTATTATAAATGAAAGTAATTTGTAATATAAGTTTAAAAAAGTATTTGTTGAATTAAGCAGGTATTATAAGCTTATATTCATAAAGAAAATATAGATCCCTAGGTCTTTAAACGTTCTCTTATCCTTTGTTAATTGTATGACATGCTAAAATATCTTTGATGTAAAAAGTTAAACAAAAAAAGATTAATTTGCTTGATAATATGATAAAGAAAGTGATCGTTTAAGCTATCAGAATTTAATAATTTAAATACTTTCAAAAAAAGAATCTTGTTATGGAAAATTACTTAATTTAGTAGGAATGTCCTCTATTAGGATTGAAATTAAGAGCTACGTAGCTATTATCACTATTGTATGCTAGGCTTAAATTATCATGCTGATACTCGGAATGTTCTAAACGACCTTCTAAAATAAAAGGGACAAAAGAATATAACCTAGGTAGTATCATAATGGGTTCATGATTAAACCCAGCATTCTGGCTATTTATCATAGCATTACCAACTTGAAAAGGATCGATAATTTCTTGGGCAATAGTACCACTATTATATAGTTGTTCTTGATTTAAATAATTCAAATATTCGGTTGATGTAGTACGAACATTTATTTGCATAGAATTTATGATCCCATTACACAATCGTTGATTATCGTCCACGTATGGGCCAGATGGGCCAGTATCATATTCTTGTTTTTGAGTAAATAAAGTTGCATCGGCCATCGGTTTATTTGGTTTTGGACCACGCTTTTTACCAGGCTTAAATTCACAACTAAGATTGCGATTTATACAATTCATACAGGGAATGGTTCCAGAGCATCTAACGCGTCTCTTTTGGCAGCTAGTGCATGCACTAGTCGCATGTGTGCATGGCATTCCAGGAAAAATTAGCTAAAAAAAAAAGTGTAAATTATAATGAATGACAAACGTTTAAAAATTTATGTGTAGTAAAAGTAAGATAATCTTACGCGTGAAGAGTAAAGTTCTATTAAAAGGTTTGCACTGACAGATAGGTAAAATTGCCTTAAAAACAGCAGTAGGTAGAGGTGGTTAAAGGATTATGATAAAAAAAAATATAAAGGTTGTAAGCCTGTAACGACTTCATATTTTGTTTTATTTAACAAGAATTTCCTAAATAAATATAAAAAAGTAAAATAACGAATTAAAAAAAAAAAAAAAAAAGGTTGGCTTGTTATAATCAGCAAAAGAACAAGACTAAAAATTTAAGAAGAAAACTATTCAATTGTTGAAAATTATGAGAAAAGAATGAGAATACATTAATAGAGGGTCCTTTTATATTAGCCAAAGTTTAAATCTGGTTAGCCCAAAAATCAAAAGTGCGGAACATTTCAGTTCTTTCATACTTAATTATATAAACCGTAAATAATGTGATTCCGAAATCAGAAAATAAAATTTCTCATGATGTATTATTATATAAAAAAATAGAATTTAAAGATCACTTATTCGAAACAAATACGTCACTAATTTTATTCAAAATCAGACATCCATCTGAATCGCCCTAATTATTAAATTTGCTATATGGGATCTTAGGAAAACCACCCTTCGAGATTTTCCGACCGGGTTAATTCGAAAAACTTAGACCATAGTACCGGCTCTTATTCATATGTAATCATCTTTTCTTTATTAATCTAATAAACTAAAGTAAAAGATGATTTACATGAATAAGATCCGGTATTCTGGTCCAAGTTTCTGAGTTAGCTCGATCGGAAATCTCAAGGGTGATTTCCTATCAAGGATTCATACAATACAACATAAATAATAACTAATTAAATTTACTATATAGTTCACTTGAGGTAAAATACGCTTTTGTATAATACAAATAAGTTACTCCAAGTTCGCTGTTTCGTAAAAATTTTATTTAATATATCTAAGGTAAGCAACTGAAGTATAATAGATCACATATTCATATTGTATATGCTAAAAAAAAAACCAAATCAAATCAAATAAAGTAAAATCAAACCAAATCAAATCAAATAAAGTAAAATAATAACATTAATTAAATAATGATGAATCTAATTTTCTCGAAGCGTAGCATATGACACCCAAACATATTGAAAATATGTTACAATATGTTGTGTAACGTGTTCTGGGACTTGATCTAACGTTGCTTCGGAAATTGTCATTTGTTTATTATTTATTAGTTATTATTATATATTATTATTCTTGTTATTCTTATTTATTTTTTGTCGCCGCATTTGAAATTACGGCATAGCATGGATCAAATTTTGATTCCTATTGAAAAACAATGTTACACGGATTTTTTATATTGCTTATAATAGGATTTTTGACAAAGCAAGGCAAAAAAAAATTTTTTTGATTAAAATTATTTAAATTTTGTAGGATTATGCTTCGAAGAAATAACCAATTTTGATCCGGATTTTATCAACTTACTTTAGAAGCGATTCTGATAAAATGCGATAATTTTAATTTTATTCAATCAGAATTCACGTCATTCAATAGAAATAACCAAAAATAAATAAGCAATCGAAACAAAGTTGACACATGTTTTACGACATTAACATTAATGAAGTGAGATCTACCACTACTAAGATTGAAATTTTAAATTTGTCCATTTTAGTCGTTTATCCCACAGATCTTTGGACTCGGACCTTAATGTCTTGAGTTACACTGAACCCAAATTTGTCATGTCAAGGCCCAGTCCAAATGCGCAAAACATATCCAGGACCACTCAGGTGTCCCGGCATTGTCAAATGAGTGCGGCTAAGAGAAAACATACACATTTTTGTGATATAACTCCGAATAACATATTTTACAATCTAAAATAATTAGTCAGAGTATTATCAATCAGTTGCACAAAAGTGTGTATGTTTTCTTTTACGTAGCCGCACTCAAATGACCTAAAAAGGTTTTAAATAACCTGAAATGGGATTTTATATATGAAATTTAATAATAAAAATTTTAAATGACCCAAATGACCTGCCAAAAAAAGCAATGACCATGCAAATTTAGCAACACTGGATGGTCCAGGTATATGGCCTTACGACTATTATCATGTAATATATCTAATGATCAAACAACCAATCAAACCAAGTTTATATCATGCTTTTAAACCTATAACTTATATTTGTTCGTTTTATTTAACAGTGATTATTGGCTTTAAAACGAATAAAACCAAATAATCTAATTTTTCATCATACTATTAAAATGTAAATATTGGTGTTAAACCTTTATAAAAGTAGATTTTCTGTTAATTAAAAGCAAATAACATGTCATTAAAAGACCAACATATTCTTACTATATATTATCAGGGTGTGTTTTTTCAAGTCATAACCCATCTAAAATTTGAGCTTCGGTCCTAGTGATTGAGTTAAACCTGCAAATAACTCATTTCCTTATGACATTATATATTTTGTCACAATTATTGATTTTGAGTTGGACATCGTAAAAATAAAGATCAAAACTTGATTTTATAAATTTATTTTTTACGATAATAGGTGTCGTATATATTATAATAATTTTGATTTTTAGGATGCCCACAGTATTCGTATTAGAAAAGTTAAAGCCATAATTTTCAAAGGTAAAAAATAAAGTAATGATCGAAACTGCACACTAATTACTTGTTTTTTTTTCATATTTCACAAACTAGTGTAACAGTTGAATAGGAGAGTGAATAACAATTGTAGACAATAATACCAATTTAACTCCAACCGTGTACAGAAATGGAGATATATATATACGGATTTAATTACAAGTGAAACTTAAAAGAAATCGATTTTTAAAACAATTATGGGGCTAATTGTGATTGAAAAGATGATATCAAGGAATGCTGATATCTAAAACGATAAGTTGTTATGATTTAAGGGCTTGATATTTAAAAAATTGCTGATGCTGGTGTTGTCAAAGGAGATGGGGTTTTAATTTCCTAAGTCTCTGATTAAATTTTGGGTTGAGTGAAAGAAATCTTTAATCTTCCCAATTTCGCTAGTAAACAAATGCTTGATGTGATGAACAAGGATCCAACGGTAGAGAGAAGCGCATCCATTTGCGGTTTTCAATACTTGCTACGTAATGAATAATGTCTTATTAGTATAATCTAGTACAGGTACTGTACACTTATATAAATATATAAATATATATAATAATAATACTAACTGTCAAGGCCTTCATGCTTCCAAATATATCTTTGAAACCGACGGTTTTGAATATGACATCCCAGTCAGACCAAATAGTGCATACACCAGAATCAACATAACATGATGCATGAGATCCGAATGCCGTATTACTTATTTCTGAGCAAGTGGTTTTGTTATTTTCATAAGTTGATATTAACTTTCTTTGGAGACAAAGCATTGTGTTGGTTACCCTAATTTATCATAAAAAGAAGATTGTAAAGTAAACCAATGCCATAATCACAATTATAGATCATGAATAGTGAGTGAGTATTTCGGCTAATATTTACCACTTCTTTCCATTGGAACTGAACTTGTCCGTAGCTTTGATAAATTTTCCACAATTTTTGTCTCCATATTTTATTGGATATCCCTCGGATCCGCAAGTAAATTTCTTCTCTAAGCAGTCAGTATAAAAACTGCATGAGTTTGGTGCAAATCCGTGGTGGTTGTCGTAGGAGGCGGACCAGATGATGGCACCGACGTAGATGTTTCTTTTTTCTTGTGCCAATGTCCAGGGTGGCATCCAGAACATGTGCTGTCCTTGCAACAGTAACTATTGCCGTCATCAGTCCCACAACAACCATATGTGCAGGGACCAAATCGACAAATTTTAGTACCTCCAGGATTGCATTGAAAGATAGAAGAAGGATCAGAAGGGCAATCTGCACTTCCAAGCTAACTTTTAGTGATAAGCTGTAAAAAATAAAAAATGGCTCGAAATATGAAATATTTACGATTATTCAGTTCATAACCACATTTGAGGCCACCAATAGCATCATTCGTATTACATTTGCAACCGCTGGTGTTAACATAGTCACAGTCAGTAAGAACTTCAGAAATCAGAAATGCTGAGAAGCATAAGAAAAATAAATAAGCATAACAGTTCATTTCGAGCTGTTTTATAAATTATTTTTTGTTAACAACACGGCGGCAAAAATTCATTGTTTATATAGATTTTCGATGTGAGCAAGTTTTACAATTACAACATTATCTTTCTAGGAACGATTAACAACCGTTAAATGTATAATTTGATTGTATTACGTATGATTCATATTTTATTAATTAATATTAAACATAGTACATCAGTTTAAAGAAAATTCTAATTGATTAAGAGCTTACCGTTACGAGAATCAATTCATAATTTAATCGAGTTAGTCATGATCCTGTTGTTTATGCATATCAAACATTTAATTATTCTATTTACAGCATTAACGTTAGAAAAGTCCGTGAAGTTTTATCATTAAATTTTTATAGATATATATTTAGCAAAAAATTTTTTCGTATTAACAAAAAATCTATTATATTTCATGTGGGATCTTTGCTAAAATCACCATTCGGGGTTTTCCGATCGGGCTAATTCGGAAAAGCTTAGACAATTCTTATTCATATGTAAAACTTCGACAGTTTATTTAACAAACTAATCCATTGAACCTAGGTGCCGCACAAGAAATGCGCGGCAGATCCTCGATTTTGATTGGCTAACGATCGAGGATCTTCAAAATTTTGGCCCACATTACATAATCGTTTATTAATTTCCGGCCGGAATTAACTTTTTAATTTTTTCATTACAAAAATAGAAATTTTTAAAAATAAGCCCGCATTATGGTGAAATTGACCCAGGAACAATTTTCACTTAATGGGCGGTTGCGATTGCGATTTCACTGAGTAATTCCAGCCTAATTTCTTGATCTGCCGCGAATTTTTTCGGAGCATATCACATGATGATTACCTCATTACACAAACGCATATTTTGTTATTAAAACGTAATTTTTGTGTCACTTAATGCAGCTACGCTCGGGATCAACTATCGAATTAATGATTTACATAAATAAGAACTGGCATTCTGGTCTAAGCCTTTCCGAATTAGCCCGATCGGAAAATCCCGAAGGGTGTTAAATACCAACATTATGACTATACGATCCGGAAAATTATATTACAGAAAAATATCATGTGTTCATAGTTATATTTTAAATGAAATCTAATTGTCCGAAAAATAAATAAAGTATGGCAATTTTCATAGTTATATTTAAATGAAATCTAATTGTCCGAAAAATAAGCAAAATATGGCACTTTTCATAGAAATATTTAAATGAAATCCAATTGTCCGAAAAATAAGTAAAAATATGGCAATTTTCATAGCCTTACCTTCATTATTATTTCTTACACGTAATTAACCATATTTATAATAATCGTATTGCGACCAGGAATATCCCACGAAAGATTCCCGGTCTGGAAACTCTATTTATTTTCTATTTTGTATGTTTCACATTTTATATAAAGAATTTTAAAAGCCAAAGTAAATAAGCACAGTAAAATGAAGCTAAAAAAAGACACGATAAGAACAAAGCGAAAGTAAGAGTTTGAAAAAAGTTAAACGTAGAAGTAAAAAGCAAAGGCGATAAAAAAAGTAAACCAGTAAAAATGATGTAAATAAAAAAAAATAAAGTGAAGCCCAAAAGTCAGTAAAGCACAATACAAATATAAATATGGAACACGTGCAAAAATAATAGTATGGTAGTCCGATTAACATCTATTGACACGCTCCTGGGAATTATTCATGGGGAAATTATAGCAGAGGTTACCGACGATCATAGCACATGGATGGCCCTTCGGGCCATCCACGTACTATGATAATCGGTAACCTCTGCTATAATTTCTACCCCCCAGGAAATAAATAATACTTAAATTGTCCGAAAAATAAGTAAAAGTATGGCAATTTTACGACCCTGTGTCACGATTCACTCGTGACTTATATATAATTTACCTATATTTATATTCTTTTAATTTATAATTATTTGTTTCCTTTTCTCGTTTAGTTCTTTCCTTTACTTGGTATTAATTAGAATTTCTTTATTGAATCGGGAACTGGCAAACTTGTTGAGATGTTGGCGAGCAATCTCATGTGGATCTACAATGTGACTACGAACCAATATAGAAATCAGAATACTTGTGTAAAATAGGATGAAACAATAGTCAGATATTAAGTGTCAAAAGTTAGTTTCACACATATGAATTCGCACTAATTAAGGTACCGTATAATGCACATGGCGTTATTTCGAAATTTCGATTTTTTTAAAAATGGCATATTTGACTCAAAATAACGCGCCCCTCCATATGTACCAGATAATCTTTCACATGCCATTTTGAATCTCGAATAAATTCGAATATAATAAGCTTAGGTTCAACTTCTAAATCTGAATCCTATTTATTATCATATGATTAAATATGATTAACAATAAGGTAAACAGGGGTAATTTGGCGAATTGCAGAATCTCAGGATCCTTTGGTCAAAATTAGACAATTTTACCACCATTCGATTTGTCTCGTCAAGACGATTCGAATGCTACAGAAATCATTTAATTTCGATCACTGGGTCATGAGATATTAACATCCGAATATAATATATTAAATTTTTTTAAAGAAGTTAATATATTATATTCGGACACATTCGGATGCCAATATCTCGTGACCCAGTGATAAAGATCGAACAATTTTTGTACCATTTGAATCGTCTAGGTGAGACGAATCGAATAGTGGTAAAATTGTTTGATTTCGTTCACGAGATCACGAGATATGTCTGTAATTCGTCAAATTACCTCTATCCGCCACAATACCCTCTTCCAATTCATGTTGCATACATTTGTCAATAATTTGTGACTTTGTGATCCAAATCGAACATTTTTTAGTACCATTCAATTCGTCTCATCGACACGAATCGAATGGTACTAAAATTGTTTAGCCAGGACCAATAAATAATGAGCTATGTGGAATTTTTACTAACTTCGCCAAATTACCCCTATTTACCTTATATCTAAAACTTTATTCGCTTTATCTCAAAAAAACTAAGTATCTCTTTCTAGTTCTATTATGATGTCTCAAGAAAGTTTTTAGTAATGATTCGAATTATTGCGCATGCGCATCCCGAAATAACACGCAGATAACATGCCCCTGCGTGTTATTATGCACTTATACGGTATGTACGTACATTTTTTTTTACATAACAAATCAAATTATATATATATGTGGGCTAGGTGCTGGAAAAAGGGCCCAAATTAACAATTTTCAAAAAAACATTTTCACATAAATCAATTTGAAATAAGATTAGGATTATTTTTCACAATAAAAATTTTGCAGTAAATCTCTTTAAAGTTTGTATTTTCTTATGATTTGTAAGATTTATAATAAAAATTGTTTTCCAAAGATTTTTTTTTTGTCAATTTTCTTTAAAGAGCTACGCAACATAAAATATATAAATTACGGTTACAGGTTAACTTCCTGAAATCAATTTTACTAAAATACCATTTCACCGAAGTCACAATGCTGACATCCCATTTTACTAACAAGAAATAATTTCGAAAATACCATTTTATCGAAAGTTCATTTAACTGAAAATAAAATTTTGCCGATAAGTCATTTATCTGCAATTTTTATTTCACCAAATACTAAAAAAATGAATGTCTATTTTACTGACATGCTATTTTATCGGATGGTACATTTTTCTGATATTCTATTTCTTCGAAAATATTCTGGGTCACTTGATAAACCAAAAATGGTTTTACTACAAAATCCGAAAGCCACTTTCCCAAAAGAACATAATACCTACTAACTAAGTTGGCCAGCATTATAACTAATGCTGGCTAACTTTGTCGGTATTACAGTAGATACTTTTGGGATTTTGTAGTAAAACCCTCAAAAATGGTATAAACTAATTTGCTAAACAACTTAATTCTATTAAGAAAATGTCCTTTTTGCACTCATGTGTCTATTTTAATTTATATTTATATTTATACTTTCCAAGCTTTTTTTGTATTTTTTTTTTTTTCTAATTTTTTGCTGGTATAATGAACTGATAATCAGTAGTCGTCAAAGGCCATAACAAAAAATCATAACAAAAGAATTTGATCTTTTTTTTTCATTTATTTGATTGTGGTGTAATGTGTAATAAAATAAGTAGATAATGTCCATACATTCTCTACATATAGTGTTACCTGGAACTGTTATTGTCACTGAAGAATGGAAGAATGTATTCTGATTGGATCTGTTTTAATGGTAAAGCTGTGTGTTATTTTCTCTACAAGTCATTTACCCGATATCACATTAGCATTCGACTTGCTACAGATATATCATTAAGCATTTACTATTTTGATGTCTCCTCTTTGCCTAATTTGCTTATGCGGTATAATCTTCTTTGATAATTTTAATGCAAACAAACTCAATTAACTATATACTGTGGTTACCAAAATAGTAAGTTCTATAACATGATTTTTTTTTTACAATAACCTATGGTAGAAATAATAATAAATTTAATAAAACTAACCACATATTGTAGTTATCAGAATAGCAAGCACTGTAATGAAATTTTTTTACAGTAACCTTAATAATTTCAATACAAACTAATTCAATATTAACTACTACAGTATATACCACATTAGTTTTTTTTACATTAACTCATGATAGAAATTATGATACATAGCTCTAATACAACTAACTCAATCTTAACTATATACTGTGTATCATTAGAATAGTGAGTAATTTTTATAACAGAATATTTTTAATCACTCACAAAAATAATTACAATAATTTCATTGTGAAATAACTCAACCTTAATTATATATTTTGGTTATAAGAATAGCATGTAAGTCCTGTAATAGAATTTTTATAGTAAAAAAATCATAAAAATCAACTTAACCTTAATCCATACTGTAGCCACCAAAATAGCAAGTTCTGTAACTAAATTTTTTATAGTAACTCATGATAGAAATTACAATAATTTCACTACAAACAAATCAGATCAATCTTAACTATATAGAAATGATAATTCTAATGCAAACTAATTTAACATTGGTTGCACACTAGAATGACAAATAAGTTCTGTAACAAGTTTTTCAGCAATTTTACAATAGAAACCACAATAAATCCAATACAAACTAAATCTTAACTACATAGAAATCATAATAATTCTAATAAAACTAACTCATAATTACAGGAACAGTGAGTTTTGTAACGAAATTTTTATAGTAACTCATAGTAAAAATTATAGTAATTTCTAATATATCCTAGCTTAACTTCATACTGTGGTTACCAAAATAGCAAGTTCTGTAACAAAATTTGTTTATAATAATTTTAATAAAAACCAATTCAACTTTAACTACTGTATGTGCAAGTTTTATAACTGAATTTTCAAGATAAAATATAATAAAAATCACAACTATATACTAAGTTCTGTAAAAGAATTCTTTAAATAAGATAGGTGGTGCAAAGCACTACCTATTACACTAAATTATTTTAGTCAAACCTGTATAATTGTTGAAATATGAAATTTGTTATCACTAACAAATCATATTGAATACTACTTGAGAATAGCCTAAAGAGTAAGTATAGATCAAATTATTGTAAATGTTCCACATATAAACTTCTACAGACCATCCTGAATTCCAAATTAGAGATCATTAAAGTTGGGCTAGTATAAACAATACTAGCTAAGTCTATAACAAGATTATAAGTAGTTATTTTTACTTAATGAATTAACTGCTATTTTAGTAATCTTAAGCAAAATTGATTAATCCTTGCTCACCCAACAAGAAGTAATACATTTCAACCCATAATTGATTATATTTAAACCAAATGTCAGAACAAATTCCTTTTATTTATTAATTTGGTGGCTATTGCACATCCATAAAGATGTGCAAAAATACTAATAATAATAAAATTATTTCAAATATGAATTCAGAAATTAAGTGACTCTGCTAAAAGCCTGTAAGTAAAGTTCTTATGCATTTAATCAATTTATACAGTTTAATTTTTAATAATCAATTTGTATTAAAAAGAGTAACTAGAAATAAATTCTGTTGATGAATTTATTAATGCATAATTGCTAAATAAATTATGAATATTAATCTTTTTTTTTTCTTGGTTTTTTTTTAAAAGGAACATTAGTGTTTCATCTTTTTGAGTATAAGATTTTGTCTTTTTAAGTATAAGGTTTCATCATTTTAAGTTTAAGGTTTTGTCTTTCATCAGAATATTTATCAGAAGAATTTGGGGTTTCAACTTTCATCAGAGGCTTCATCTTTTGAGAGTTTAGATTTCATCTTTTGTCATTATACAAAAAAGGTTTTATCTAACTAGACTTAATTTTTTTTTTTAATATTTAAGGTGAGACCTTGTTTTTATCTTTATTAAACTTAATGAAAACTTTTTACATGATTGAAAAAGGTTTTATATTTTAAGCCTAGTGCTAAGAATAAGAACTCAGACATATAACTAAAAAAACCTAGTATTTGAGTATACCTAGTAACTTATCTGCAGCCTAAACCTAAACTACAGACTTAATCTAAAATAGTATAATTATTCTTATATTGTCTTTTAAGTTAACTGGATAAGTTAATATTAAATAGCATTGAGCATAAAGAATTATGCAATTTTGTTCAATTGAGAGATACCTTGTTGAGAATTTTCTTTTCAAAGAAAACATCTTTTTAGGAAATAATCTTTTCAATAAATTATTTTTTGGAGAAACATCTTTTCAGGGAAATATATCATATAATATTTGTCGGTGAAAAGGTTTCAAAAAAAGTCCTTGTCAGAGAAACAGGTGTTCAAAGAAAAGGTTTTGTTGGTGAAAAAGGCTGTTGAATGATTTTTTTCAGAAGTTCAGGTTGTCGGAGAAAAAAAAATTTTTTTTAGTAAAATCTATTGTCAGAAATATATCTTGTCAGAAAAATGGAATGTTAGTATTATGAGATTGGGGAAATAGTATTTTGGGAAGGTGGGTTTCAGGAAAGTACGAATTAACAGGCTTTTTGAAATTCTAATTTCAAAAAATGTAATATAATCTACTTTATTAATAATATTTATGTTTAATATTTGTGGGTTAACACCAAATGCGATGTGTGTACTGTACGCGGCAGTTTTTAATATAAAAACTTGATAAAGATAATATATATCAAACAGTGTTGGGCAAATTAGTGGTCGAACAAAAATTTGCTGGTCAAATTGGTCAAATCTATTATATAAATATAGTATACATATTATATAATAAATTATATATAAATATACTATTTGACCAGTATAGATCCTTTGACCAGACTGGTAAAATTGGTTAAATTGGTCTGGTCAAATGGCCAAACTGGTCTGGTCAAGCCAACACTGATATCAAAGTCAGTATTATGTCATGTATAAAAATTTAGGAAAAATAAAAAAAAAGCATTATTACAAAAAAATACTCATAGGTTTCATCAATTGATTGATTGTTCCTCTAGAAGTTTTCTGTCTTATTTTTTTTATTAACAATAACGTAGCTTTTTTTTTGTTGTTTCATTTTTTTATAATTATTTTCCGTTTGGCTAATTGTAGACTCCGATGTTTTCACTCCTATTTTGGAAATAACTTAAATTCAGTAGGGAAATAGCCTCCGACTGACAATTAGTAAACCGAGAGAACAGATTGTACTTATTTTCAATGACAGTCCATTTTATCTATTAGTACAAATCTTTTAGCTGAATTAAGACTATATTAATATTAACACGCTTAAATCTTCAAACTACCTTATTTTTATTTTTATTTGCATAACGATAAGTATTTTTAGTAAATGTTTTCTGGAAGTTGTACACGCATCTGGAGAATGTACCAATTACCAAAAGAGGTTTTGGAGCCGTTCCCTGTACAAACTGCATAAAACATGATCTTATCGTGAATTTGTCAAATCGGATAAAAAAACGCGGACCAAAGAATAAGGTGGGCTAATACTTAAGTGATAACCAAATCACATAAATGAACAATAAATCCTAAGCAAACCTACATGCTATTACCTACGCAAATCAAGTACAATTAATTATATAATTGTGGTACCATCACGCAAAAACTTCGAGTCAATGGTACTATAATAAATTCAGGTTTGTTAATAAAGGATGATTATGCAACCGAAGCATCCCTTTCTAATAATTCTTTAGATAGCCTTTTTTATCTACATTTCGTATTCCTTGTCCTTATTATTCCAAATTTTAATTCTTAAAATAAACGTAATTTATTTTATCCAATGAGATTTTAAAGAAAACCAATTAAGCTGCCAAAATTTAATGACTGATTGTCAAAATTAGCAAATAATCTTTGTTTTTTTTTTTTTTTTTTTATTAGTATAGGTTTCTAATGCTTAATTTAAATTTATAATAACCCGGTTTTTTTTAACCAATTGTAAATATAGTACTATAAGTGACCCCTCACAGCCTTATATTGAAGAGAATTTGCTATAATAAAGAAATTTATTATAACGAGAATTTAACAGTAAATTCAATAAAACATAAAGATTTATATAAACTTACTTTGAATTTAGCTTCACTATATCAGAAGCTCATCATATTAGGAATGAATTGTAAAGAACGGAAATGTTATCATCTAGTACTGTATATTTTAAATCAGCTAAAAGTAAATTTTATACAAGTAATCTTGATATAAGAAAGGTGATGAGCCAATAGTAAAAAATTTTGAGAGTTTACTAATAACTTTTTTATATCAAGTGAATTTGTTATAGACTGGTTTTGGCTTTAACATTCTTATATCGAATTTTAATTAGCCTTTTTCATATCGAGAGTTTCTTAATCGAGAGTTTCTTAATCGAGAGTTATTTGTATATACTGTAGCCCTATAAAAAAAAAGTCCGTTATAGTTCCACTTTATAGATAAAAACTCAGTTAATTTGATACCTTTCTGGAATTCTTCCGAATTTTGCGAGTAAGTCCTTGTAATTTCCATAAATTTTCAATAAAAATTCCAGGAATGATACATTTCTGGAAATAATATAGAAAATAAATACAATTGAATTTTTTTTACAGGGTAGTATTTATTAAAAGTCATGGTGTTTCGGGCTGTGATTATGGAGACTGTGGATCAATTATTTGTTTGATTTGGGCATGAATTATAGGTTACCGTGTGTAGAGAGTAGCAATTACTTACGTGACAGAGTGTTAGGAAATACGATCGATCGCCGAGTGACCTGTGGAATGGCGGAAATGGTAACTAGTAGAGGATACTAAGACATTGCAAAAATGATCTCTTGGTATTTTTACGGGACAAACTGGCAGGTAAAATTTTATATGAAACTGATTTAGGCTTATTTATTTTAGTAAATATCGGTATGAATAATATGGTTATTTACAGGCTTCCAATAGAGCTATTACCCGGCAAGAAGCTGACCTGCACGTGTCAACCCGACCCGGGTAAGGGCTCTAAAATAACGTCATGCATTTTATTACAGTAAATACTATTGAAAATTAAAATCATAATATTCAACCAAACTAATGCATAAAAACTTTATTTACAGGTTTTTATTTACGTTTGTTTGATTTATGCGAATAATTGTTTCCCAATTTTCATTGAAATAGTACGTACGTATGTACATATGACTACATGATTTATCATTTTTCCCAGTTTTATATATGAAACACTTTCTTAAAACATCCCCGCATATAAAGTGATACGAATATTTAAATCTGGCAAGTTCAATAAATAAATTTAAGATGAAGGCGTCTACCTAAATTTAGACGCACCAGTTCTGGTTCAAATTTAGTAATGCCTATAAGTACCTAAGTACTGTATATCGATATATAGTTTTGGTAGGAATGTTACTGAAGACTTTTATAAATGATCAAAACCCATTTTGCCGGTCTATTACTAATTTATACTGTATTTACATAAATAAATGCTCATATATATTTAGCGAATACGAGTTTCGATTTCATATAGTGTCCTATCAAAAGTACTACTACCAGAAGGTTGCAAAATAGCTTCAGAAGGTATAATTCTATCATTATCAAATAGTTGATTTTCTACTCTTTTTTTAATTGTAGTCACTTGAATTTCTTCTTTAATAACGCTACATAAAAAAGGGTTCATTATTATTTATTCTAGATGTATTCAATTAGGGATTAGTTAAACTTACTTGCAAATGTGATCCAAGTTCAAATCATTATCATCATAACCAAACGGATCCTCGATTTCTTCACCGATTTCTTCAATACCAAATAAAATAAAGGATACAATTAACACTACAGGAATGGTAGCATAATGCATTGTAGAAACCAGTTGAAATGGTAAGCTAACACAATAAATCCAAACTGTGTGTGATAAATGAATTGCATAAGCCAAGGGAATTGGCGTATTCAAAATTCTTTCAAATCCAGATAGACAATCAATAAGTGTGTTCAAATTAATATATAAAAGGTTAGCTGTTGGTTGATCAATGATATTATTTTTAAATTGTTTATCAACATATGAAGTAAGATAAAGCGAGATTGCTAATGGTAAATTGTAATTTTTAGGTTTTTGTTTCTTGGATTTAAATTTTCTTTTAACCCATTTAAAAGCTTTTGATCCTAAATTCTGTTTTTTTTTTTCTTTCTCGATAACTTTAGCTACTTGTTTAGTTAGTGGCACAAAATTTGGTGTATCAATACTGATACTTGAAATAAAAGGTTTAAGATCATCACACTCAGTTCCTTCTTCACGAAGGTAATGCTTTGTGGAAAATGCGAAACCTATGAGAAGGTTGATTGCTGCCTTTTGTTCTAGTGAGCCAACATTGCTTTTAGAGTCAATATTTATGCAGATGTGACGCACGAGGCCTCTGATGGCAAATATCATTTTTGACCAAAGACGTCTCCCCTCATCATATCTAACGTGATGATACTTTTTAGATAACAACCATCAATAACTTTAAAAAAAATAAAATAAAATTATACTTGCCTATCATAGGAAGTATTCGTTCTATAAGTTAATAACAATCCAACTACAATACTGAGCACTGGTGTTAAAGTTGCGGAAATGCTTAGGTTGATATTACAACGTTCATAAAGAAGACACACAATTCCAGAAATAATAGTTGCGATAAATACTGAGGGAAAAGCATGTAAAATAATAGATCCATCCCACCTAAGGAAATATGGCCTATATTTTTTATATGGATCATATAGTTTTTGCATTCCTTACTTGAAGATAACTTTGAGAAATTTAAAATTTTGATTTTATAAATTACAACCAAAATTCACTTTGTGAAGCTTTATAAAGCGAATGCTGTATGACTAAAATTTAATTTGAAATTTCTTACAAAGAATATCTAATAATTGTATTTATCAATGTCAAAAATTACATAATCGTTAAATACGTAAAACATGCATTTTTATCGTTTGTGACGTACGCCTTTTTACCAAAACCTTTCTCTTGTTAAAAAAATCATGCGCCTTAAACGGCTTCTAAATCCGATTAACGTTAAAATTTCATTTTAGGCTAACCCCGAAATTATCTAATAATAAAAATGGGGTTTGCCATAATATTTAATGTCACTTATTACGTATCATTTTAAAAAAAAAGGTATAGATGTGCACTTAAAAAATACAAGGCTAACTTGTCTTACTGGATGTGAACTAACTATAATAGGAGTTGCGCGACAGAAAATAGGTTAGCATTGACTAGGTAGCTCAGTGCTTAATATAAAATCCCAACAAAAAATTGCAAATATCTGGATATTATATTGTACAACAGAGGATCAAAGTTGTCAAAAAGATACTTCAAAGTATATACACACACTTGCACTTATTGCGCTTTTCGAAGAAATCCGAAAATTTCAGCGCTAAGTAACGTGTCTAAAAACAAAAATTCTCGATTCTGCAATATTGCTACTAGTAGTACATTAGAACTGGTAGTTAGTTTGTCAAAATAGTATTAAAATTCCTACTAACAATTTAGTATATTACTAGCGATAGTACTGGAGAACTGAAATATAGTGGGGAATATTGAGAACTTTTATTTTTAGATTTACTCATGAAAAGGCTAAAATTTTCAGATTTATTTCGTGGTGAATGATTATTAAGCGATCACAGCAATTCGAAAAGCACCGTAATATTTGAATTTTTCTAAGAAATTAGGACAATCGTGTGTTGGTTGCTCTATAGGGTTCTTTACAACAATAATTGGTATTGGGTCTATGTTTTTTTGGGGGTTTTATTTTCTTGCTATTGGCATTTTTGCATTTGACTATTAATAATATATTACTCAAGTTTCTTGCCAATGCTATAAAAATACAAAAATTTATTATATTATATTTTTAGAATTTCTAAATAAAATTATAATTATTAAAATTAATTAATTTTCATAAGAATTTTAGCTTTTGTTATAGTAATTAAAGTATTATAAAAATTTTTACTAAGGCCACGCAAATTTAATTTATTGATTCTCGTAACATTAAACTTTTTAAATAGACCGGCATATATAACAATTTTTAAAATTTTTTTATAAAATTTTTTTTTAAAACTCACCCGATTATTACAGCTGTTCTCAAATTCTGGGACAATTGATATATTTTTGATAACCACGTTACAGAATCGGAATCAATAGGTAACCGACTTCAGCCGAACTCAGAAACTTATAGAATTCGGTCATCAGAAAATTTTTCATTGTCCCAGAATTTATGAGAACAGCTGTAAAACATATAAAAAAATTATTTACAAAAATTTCAAAATTTGACCCGGCTGGGTTACGAGAACCAATTAATTAACTTTGCTAATTAATATTTATTTACTGTAATAATATTAACTATAAAAGCTTTAAGCTGTAGCTTTTTAATTTAAAAAGTTAAAAAAAAAATAAATATATATAATTATAATAATTGCATATAAAAAAATTTAATCTTATTATTTATAAAATAAGTATTTAGTATATAAATTTTTTTTATTTAGTTATAATATTTCAAAAGGTATAATGGAAGTTAGTAGTTGTTTTAAAAACAGTTTTCAAAAACTATTACAGCTATTTTCATAAATTCTGGGACACCTAAAAATTTTCTCGTTTCCCGGAATCTTTTCTATTTCGTCCGGTAAATTACCTAACTCTCCGGAAACTACATCGCTATTTTCGAACCTTCAGTCCGGAGACAGCGATGTAGTTTCCGGAGAGTTAAGTAATTTACCGGACGAAAATAGAAAAGATTCCGGGAAACGAGAAAATTTTTAGGTGTCCCAGAATTTATGAAAACAGCTGTAAAAGACTCTCAATATAGTGAAGAAAATTTACAGCCCGAGGACTTCACTATAAAGAGAGTGACTTGTAGTTAGAAAATGCAAAACTATAGTTTTCTGGTTCATTCTCAATATCATCTATATTTGACAGATTTGAATACTTAAATTGGGCAATAAGATTACAAAGTTACATGAAAAATTAATTTAATAGTACTCTATAGACTAGAATAGTTTATAAATTATATTGGGAAATCTATTTTAACTCAGAATAAACAAACATTGCTAATATTTTATTTTAGTCACCATAGCTTTTCAAATTGGCCTGAATCAAAATAGAATTCTTATAAAAAATTTAAAGCTATTGTTAAATAATCAATTTATAAATTTAAGAAAATTTTAAATGATAAAAAAACACAAATATATATAATTTAAGATAATTTAAATAATAAAAATTTGTGCATAGAATTAATCATTTCGCTAAATGCAAATATAAGCAATTTCCCACCATCACCATTAAGTGAGCGCTTATTTAGTTGCCTATAAATTATGTTACTAAGCCAATATTAGCGAAACCATGATATTTGCATAAGTTTTCAAAAAGGACATTCACGAAAGTTGGTTTGGATTTTTCATTACTGTTTAATAACATTTTATTAATTTTACCTTCCAAAAGAAGCTTTTGACTTAAATATAATCTTGGATCGAACATTTGGTCAATTTATGTCAGTTTGCCAATCTCATCCTTACTACCATTTTTTGCAATAATAGTACTAAAATATTCATTGCAAATTAGCTAATATTTAAAAATGTACTTTGTTAGAAACTAATTTAAATGCAGCTTACCTAGAAAAAAACATCAATTTTGTCAAGTAAAAACTTTTAAATAAAGTTAGGTTACTGTCATTCCTCGTCAGATCATATATAAATATACATGCTGAATTTTCAGAATATGAAGAATGCGATCCAATGATGATTGTTGTTTTATAAGGGTCATAACTTTTTAAAGGTTCATCATATGTTTCTATTACACACGTGCCTAATAAACGAGTATTAAAGATATGTCAAGTTCTACTATTTGATGTTTCTACAACACAATGATTATTTTTAATGGTAATATCGAATTTTCCGCTGTGAATTTCAATTTGTTGATCAAGACTAAAATTTGCTGGATGTACTATCATTTCAAAGGCCGATGGATACCCTACTATCATCCAACAAAGATGAATAGAACAAGTTTTTATCTTTTTATTGTGTGGAATTTTAGTTGGAATATGATGAATGATTATTGCAGAATTATGTTGACTTGTGTAATCAATACGGAAAGAAAATACATCTTTATCATTTTCGTTAATTATAGATAAAAAAAACTTGACTTTAATTTATATTAATATCTTTCAGTTGTTCGCTTAGTGGATAAACGAATGGAGCCATTTTAAATATATCCCAATTAAAAAACACTTGTTCAGTTTCGGCTTCATTTTTAAAAAAATAAAAATACTATATTTAAAATATTAATCTAATAACTATAAAAAAGCAGAATAATAGATTGAATTAAAATATTACCTTTTAAAATTTTCTGGCCTAAAGCCTTTAAAACATCTTTGCGTGCAGCAGATCAAATATTGGGTAAATTTGATCATACTCGATTATATCCCATGAGTGAGATTCTTTATCCAATCTGCTTTGTCATTAAGTCTATATTTCCGCTAATAATTCGATCACTAGATCATTTGCGCTGTCCGATAAATTAGTAATTTCTTCGGCCTGATTATTAATACTACTCGCTAAATCAACAGGTGTATGAGATGCATCCAATGTTATATTGATGTTTTGCAAGCTAGTTTGTTTGGCTATAATTAAATAATTAGTTAGATATTTTTGAATGAATTATATCGATATATATAGATTAGTACACAGCCAAAGAATGTTCTGACTAAAATCGAAATTTTATTCGGTTATATCAAAGTTTTAATACACATTAGTATTTTATAATTGGTTTAATTCTATACGTAGTTAAATAATTTTGGTCAATCAAATTATATCGTAATAATTAAATGTAAATAGCTAATCATTGATATATATTAAAAATTTATCATTAGCTCCATTTTGCTGTACAATGATCCATATACTTAGACACCAACTTACTCGTACTGTCAATATTGTAAACATTTTTAATGATTGCACCACCAAAAACAATACGACGTGCATATATCATTTTCTCTTAATGCTGCACGAACTTCTTCATTAAATATTGCATTTGATTCCACATTTTCTCTTGTAAGAATATTTTTTAGCACATTTATTAATATTAAGCATTTTATATGAATTCTCTTGAGATACTACAAGACAAATAGAAAGCCATGGTAAGACAGCCGAAATGTTAGCACAAGTAATAAAGTTAAGTTTACATAAATTATCTAGTTCATGTACACATTCTACTTCATTCTTATCATATACGTCATTTATTTTAAAGTGTTTAGGTGTGTTTTACATAATGGGTTTTACAGAGAACCCAAAACTTCAGTCTCAGCCAATTTCAGCTCCAGTCCCGCGTCATAGGAGAACCATCCTAGCGTACCCCTAAAAAAAAGTTACGTAACTAAACTTAAATTTTCTCCGAACAATTTCATTTCATCATATATTAGCAATTTATATTGAAAATTTACTTTACTACAATTCGAATATAAATTTCAAATAATACAGAACTTTTTTTCGAAAAAAAAATTTCAAATTTTTTATACGATTGTCAATATTTCAAAATTGAAGAGTAACCCAGTGATATCTTCGTGATCATCACTACACACTCGGCCTAAGTTAGGGTTAGCGTTAGGTCATGTGATAGTATAGTTTAGGCCAAATCTGTTAGTGCTAGTAAACAAATGACGTCATTCCATGATTTCACATGATGTGATGATCACTGGGTTCATCTCTACCATTTAATTTTGGGTTGTACGCTTTAACGTTTTTGATTGGATGTACGCTTTAACATTTTTGATTGGAACGGAACTGAAAATGTGATCAGATTTGATACTTGGTTTGTCAGTTTAACTTTTTTGATTAGTGGTTATGATGTAAATATCAAAATATTTTTGTTAAGTTTGAGATTATTGGTTTGTCGGTTCGGTTTAACTTTTTTAGATTAGTAGTTATGATGAAATATTTTTGTTAAGTTTGAGGTGATTCATATTACGTTTTTTTTTGTAATTCGGTTATTGGTTTGTCGGTTTAACTTTTTTTGATTAGTGGTTATGATGTAAGTATCAGGATATATATCTTCTCTTCTCTTCTCTTAGTACGATTTAACGTTTTTGATTGGACATCCAAAAAAACGTGATCAAGTGTGGGAATTTGAGTTTGTGCACTTTACCCTTTTTGATTGACCATATCAAAAAACGTGATCAGAATGTGGGAAAAACGTCAATTATAATGATGACTATTCTAACGACATCTACTTATGACATTCTGGATTAAAGTTACTTATTAAAGTTAACAGGATTAAAGTTACTGATTACAGTAATTTCCTGATTATTATTACCGAGTACAACATTCTTAATTCCTCTTAATTATGATATTGAAACATCTATCTTTTTTATATTTTTTTTATATATTTTTTATAATTATAATTAAATTCTGAGTTTGTGCGCTTTACTATTATTGATTTGTCGTATCTGAAAAATGTGACTTAAATGTGGAAAAACTTACATACACATACATAAGCAATTATCATGGTTCGAGTAATTATTACAACATTCCCATGATCATCTGCAATTATTGCGACATTTCGATCATTCGCATTTAATGTCATCATGAATTGATTATTAATACATAAATGCAAGCCATCTTTGTTCAAGCTCTTAAAATTTTTATGAATTTTTACATAACCGTGGCGGAGCCACGGGTTGGGTGCTAGTTGTTTTTTAAGTGTCCCATTTATTTTTTATCAGGCACAATTCCTAATAAATTAGATTTTGTCCGACACAAATATAATTGAAAGCCCAATGACAGGTTTTTCCTTAACGTCACTCATATACGTAATTTAAGATCAGACTACTTTCAAAGCATTTTCGCTGGCAAATAGTTGAAAAAATTTTAGAAAAAATGAATTAAGTCTATTAGGGATAATCCTTTCATTTGGCACTAGGGTGTATTGAATTATTTGAAATAAAGATCGTAAAATAATCATTATAATACAAAAATAACTTTTTTATACGGATCAGACCGAATTCATAAACTTAATCGAACACCGAAAAATCATTCGGCTAATTTTTATCAGGTGTTCCCAGAAATTATGATAAAGGCTATAAAATTTGTAAAATTCTTAAATCGAGGTTTTTTATTTCTTGCACCATAGTACATACAATTTTCCAAACATGATTTACAGTTGTTTTCATGAACTTGGGACAACTGAAAAATTTTTGGTGACCAATTCGATAAGTCACAGAATCAAATCAGACCTTGGCCAAACACAGAAACTTATCGAATTCTATCATCAGAAAATTTCATTATCCCAGAATTTATGAGAACAACTGTAATAAAGCGACAGGTTTTACAATACAGAACAGTTAATGTTGTAATATTGCATACGCCCGAAAATGAGACCTGGAAAACGGCGAGTCTGTCACTAAACGATCCGAGACACCGCGTAATCTACGAAGGGAGTTAATCGAAAGAGGCGGCTATATTTCTTGGACGTATATCAGGAGTTTGATTATACACAACAACACTTCTCTTCTCTATTCAAAATCAACACAGCTAAACAACGGCTTGGGTCTCACACTTAGACTTTAAACTGGAACCAAAAGATGGCAACCACAACTATCCACGGTACGTTGGAAGAGTTGGAAAACAACCACGAAAGACCTCAGTACGTCGAGAATCAACCGGAAAGAGTTTTGGTACACTTTACGATTATCATGTGCACAAGGAAATAACGATCGTACCGTTATGCCGCTTAAGCAATAGATCAGGGTGTGGGTATATGTAATTAGTAGGAGACGAATGTACTTGAATCACGAAGGATCGATTTAATCTAGGGCGAACCGCCTTTATTACATACTTTCTTCCACTTAAGACTCATATCCGTGATATATCAATCATACGAGTTATAAATATTATATCGCTTATACTAGCTATACTACTGATATCACTAATTCCCTTCATTACGCTAATATCCCTACAGAGAATACAGTGTATACAGCCGTTCCAGGCTCACTATAGTATATTAAGTAATGGATCACCCGACGGATTGATCCGTCCATGTTTACTCAGGTAGTGATGACTTCAATCTGGGTATCCGATTTATCCGGTTTGATCCGGTATACCCCATCCGGTTTCAAACACTAATCTCTAAACCTAAATAAATATGGATAATCAAAAATGGGATTACAAAAATCTGTTTGATAATATGAATGACCAAAATAGTATGGTAAAGTACTGTATCTATTTTAAAAATTATACCATACTATATGAGTGCTGCCAAGGGAAAAAGGCCGATCGGACTTTTAATATATTTTGTGTACAGTTTGCCGTCTATGGAAAATTTATCATTATAATAAATTATTCATAGACGGTTAACTGTACACAAAATATATTGAAAGTCCG